CTCTCCATGTCTTCGATGAGTTCACCGGGACAGGATCCCCCATCACAAACACAAGAGGGGCTTCATGCAGACCAGAGGAAAAAGAAACCTGCAAACCGGGACAAGACTGGAGCCCTGAACTGAACAGGGTGAATGAAATAGAGAAAAAAACTCCAAGGCTCCAGGGTTGATCCTTTAAACCAATGATAGCAAGAGTACTAGGCTTTCTAACTCTCATCTCCAAGTCTCACACAAGTGACCAAACAGACCAACTTTACTCAAAACTGGCCTCTTTCTTCCCAACCTCCCCCACTCCTTACCCTTGCCAGGAATTTACACAAACCAAGGTAAAAAGAAAGTCAGAATGGAGTCTCTTTCAACATGGCTGCCATCCTTCTCACAGCCCAACACAGCAGGTCATAGGACCTGTGTGGTTCTCACAGGATGAGTTCTGTTTACAAGATGGGCATGTATCAGTGTCACCAAGGGAAGGGCAGGTTGTGTGCCCTGGCCTGAGGAGCCTGGCCTGGCAGGGATTATAGGTTGTTGGTGCCAGCACTTGCTGGGTGGAGTCCCTGCCACGGCCAGGGTGCCAGTGAGGCCCCCAGCCTGGGCTACTCACTCATGTAGCAGGAGCTACCAGCAAGTGGCTCACACAACATACATCTCAGTCAAGAGGCTGCAAACCAAGGTGGGGTGCAGCAGAGTCTGGGGGGCTCTCCCCACGCCCACCTCCACATGAGGGCTCAACCATCACGAAATCCCAGCTTCTTCCTTAGAGACCCCAGCTCCAAACACAGGCACCCTGGGCTTCACCATGTGGACATACACACTCCACCACTGTCCTTTCCTCGCTGGCTGAGGAGTAAGAGCTGAGCCTGGTCTGTCACCAGACAGAAGAGGAGGTTCCCAGGCCCACCTGACCATGCAGTCAAATTGCAGGTTCGCTGATTCCTATCATGGAAAAAGTCTTCAGGACAGGCCAGCAGAAGCATAAAGGGACTCACTAGGCAGAAATTTAAAAGTATACTCAGAAATGGAGTTTGGGTCCTCAACAGAAAGGGCATTATGATCAGAGATGGAGGTATTTATAGGGCTTGAGGTCTTCAAGTTGGCTGTCAGAATGCAAACTGTTACCTGTGTTTGCAGCTGAGATTAGCTGTCCACTCACACTGCTGCTTCTCTGAGGACAGAGGATGGAAGGAGGAATATAATTTGCAGGGGAAGCACAGGCCCAGAGCCCAGTTTACAGACTCATTTTGTCTGTAAGACACAGGTTTTTTTTGAGTGAGTTTCTTGGAAGGGGAAGAGGCTTGAGTAACTTTGTGTCCTAAAGCTATAGTTTTTCTTTAAAGTCCAATTTTAAAATTCTGATTTTCCTGGTTTCCCTTCTACCTACCTGTATTTCTTCGATCCTACCCAGATCACCCTTCTGCTGTCCAGACCTGAAGCTCCTTCATGTGAGTGAGGAGGGATGACCAAAAGGAGAAAGAGCACAAGGCCATGCTGAGGGCTAACCTCGAGGGGAGAGGTGAGAACAGCAGGAGCTGGTGGCTGCCTATGACTACCACCCTGAGGGACCAGGAGCAGGGTTGCAGAAGGGACAGCAGGGAGGGGTCGATCCCAGCCAGGATAGCCTAGAAGGTGACGGCATGCCAGAAGTGACGGCAGCCCCACAGGTACGGAGCTGGCACCACCACCAGGACCAGGACTTAGCACCAGACCCTCAGCACTGAGGAGGCCAGAGAGGCAGGAAGTAGGAGGGGGAGTGCAGAGGGGACAGCGCTGTGGACAGCTGAGCACTGATTAGCCTCCCAGGGCAACACCTCAGGGCCCTGCCTAAAGGACTTTGTTTCTCTCCCAACCTTATCCTCCTCTCTCCATGGTCCAGATGTGTAGACAGACCGGGCTGAAGGGCCCACCTGGCACCTTGTGCAGGGGGCAAGGTGGGGACAGCACAGACCCAAGAGGAGTCTGGGTCAACTCCAAGGCTGGACTGATGTCATCCTGAAGATCCCACTGCCCAGCCAGCCACCCCACCTGCTGCTCCACTGAAGCATCTAGGACTCTGGGACAACTACTGTCCTCACACAGGTGGGCAGATGTCTGTCACCAGAGCCACTGTGCACTTTTCCTTTCCTCTGCTGGGGGCCAGGTCTGTTTGCAACTGATCACTCTGTCCCCAGCCCCAGTAGCCAGACCACAGTACCCAGGACACACACACACACAAACACACACACACAAACACACAGGCAAAGAAAGCCTTTGCCCGGTTATTTGTGTCTCCCCAGAGCATCATTTGCAACAAAAATACAGCTCCCTGCCAGCTGTACTATTTATTTCTTCCGCACACCAGATAAGAACAGAGAGAAAGACAACATTCACTGGGAATCTTGGCTCCTGCGCCCAGCTCCCACAAGCCCTCAGAGTGACACAGTGTGTGTGTGATGGAAGCCCTGGTCCTTGGCTTACAGAGCAGAAAGGCAAACACGAGTGGACAAATGCAGGATCGGGGACCCAGAGAGCACACTGGACACTGGTGGCGTGGAGGTCACCGTGCCAGGTAGGACAGCCAGTCTGGGCACACAGGTGTGAAGAGCTGGCAGGCCTTGCAGGCTGTGGTTTTCCAGGTACCCTCTGGGTGGGTCACTCTGGACTTCTCTCAGCAGTGACACTCTCAGGCGACCCCCAGGACAACACCATAGCTACTCCCTCCCATGGATGCCTTCTGACCATGTTTCCAGGCAGGCAGGGCAGGAGCCTCTGTCCTCCTGTCTTCTCTTCACAAGCCACAAACATCACAGCAATCTCGGGCTCCAAGTGACACTACCAAGAACAACTGCCTGCTTCGGAAGACACTGGGTATAAGGCCACCTGGCTGCACCCACCTGTGCCCGCAGGCTCCAGGGTTGGGGTAGAACACATGGCTTCTGCATACTTGCATCTCAAGACCATAATTATAAATGAAATAAATCAGAAGACATAATTCGTCTCTTACAGGAGAAACTCAAAGTGTAAACAAATTTAAGAGTAAAAGAAAAGAGATAATAGGAAATAGGGAAACGGCTTTTTTTGCAAATGGGAAGGGGACCAGTAGATGGAGTAGGGAGGGAGAGAAGGGGAAGGGGATGTAAAAAGAATGAAGATGTGTCATGTACTCGGACCAACTCCTCACAAGAAATATGAACATGATGTCCTGAGGATGCAGACTCATAAAAATGAAAATGTAAGAAGAATGCTGAAGTGGGAAAAGTCAGAAACACAATGACCTGGGGCTGCATGGGGAGCAGTGCTGGACGGAACATGTTGTCCTCGTCCACAGCCCACTGGTGCGGAGTCCCTGGAGAGCACCATCATGACCTGCAGACAGGCTGCATCTCTGGGAGAGCAGCCATTGTACGCAACAATGACAAAGAAGCATCTAGTCTCAGCTATACCACAGACTTGAACACCTCTCCAGGTCAGACACCCCGAAGCTCTCCCCTAGAGGGACAAGGAGGCTGGGGTGACCAGGGACTCCTCTGGGTAGCCCAAGCACAGTTCTCAGCTGCACCAGAAGCACAGATGTTCCTGGAATTTAACGCGCTCCTTGGCTTCAACAAAACCAGCACCAGCACTACTAGCCCGAAGAGCCTGTGTTAAACATAAACAGCCTGCTGAGTGCGGGGTCAGTCCCTGGTCACCAGGCTCCCCCTACACCCAGGCCACTCAATAGGGGGAAACTCAGCCTCTCGGGACGCCACTGGGGCGGACCGGGGTGGCCAAGTTCCATCAAAAATAACACGGCTCATGCATTCCTGATGAAATATGAACTGCACCATGGGCTAACACCAAGTGCAAATGCGAGGAACACAAAAAGAATGGTGGCCTATCTTCTGCAGGAGAGAGTGTTTCACTCTGTCATGTAGATCCCTAATATAAGACACGATAGCAGGAAAAGAGCAGCCAAGGGACATCGCGGGACAGTTCAGCAAAACACCACCTGCTGCTCCCCTCCTGACAGCTAGGAGGACTTCATGCTCAAGCCTTTTCTGGAGAAACAAACATCATCTGGACATACTTCTGTGGGGTGTCACCTGTCTCTTGGCACTAAAGTGTTTTCCAGTCCTCCAGGGGATGAGCTAGAGAAAAGGCTACAATAAGACAGCCTTCCCAGCACTCCACCCATGAGGGCACAGTAACCAAGAAGCCGGTGTGATGGTGCAGAGCTCACCCCACAGGTGAGCAAGCATTGCAGAGGTAGGGGTGTGGCTGGACTTTTCCTAAATATGTACCATCCTGTGTGTGAGCTCCAGGCCAGCTCCACTTTTTCCTGCAGGTGGATTTGCCAGCTCCATCCTGTCCCTACACATGAGCCCAGGAGAACTGTGCTTCCTCCTTGGCTGCCTCCTGCCTGGCCCCCTGCCTGCCCATCAGTAAGCATCCCCACTCCCTTCCTAGGCGTCTCTGAAGTCACCTTTCCCCTCCTCTCCTGGGGTTAGCTCATCATATGAGGGCACAGTAACCAAGAAGCCGGTGTGATGGTGCAGAGCTCACCCCACAGGTGAGCAAGCATTGCAGAGGTAGGGGTGTGGCTGGACTTTTCCTAAATATGTACCATCCTGTGTGTGAGCTCCAGGCCAGCTCCACTTTTTCCTGCAGGTGGATTTGCCAGCTCCATCCTGTCCCTACACATGAGCCCAGGAGAACTGTGCTTCCTCCTTGGCTGCCTCCTGCCTGGCCCCCTGCCTGCCCATCAGTAAGCATCCCCACTCCCTTCCTAGGCGTCTCTGAAGTCACCTTTCCCCTCCTCTCCTGGGGTCTTAGCTCATCACCGAGCCCCAAGACAAGCACAGAGGTGACTTGAGGTGGGGGTGCAAGGACAGCAGGAGGGCAGTATGGGCCTGGCACCCTCACCCCTGCCATTCCTCCATCTCCCCACCCTGCATCCTCCTCCCCAAATGCCCACTGGCTTCAGGCCTCACTCCTGAGAAAGTCAGGCTGATCAGTCCCTGCCCAACCCATTGTGACCGTTTCCTCACCAGACAGGGCTGCGTCACAGCCCGGCATCCTCAGCAGGACAGATATGGGGAAGGGACACAGGGTGGCCACCAGTGTGCAGTCATCCCCTGGTATCCTGAAGGACAGGTTCCAAACTCCAGAGGCCCATTCCCCAGCATGATGGTGTGGCATTTGCATAGAGCCTTCTGCTGGCAGCCTTGTCTCATCTGGCACAGTGCAACTGCTGTGTACACAGGTGTCCCATTCTGTCATCTGCTAAGAAGAAAGCCATCTATGCTTAGTGCAGATGTAAGTTTTGCTGAATTCCTTCTATCCCCAGATCCAGAGGAGGCTGACCTGAGGCACCAGCAGGCTCAGGAGCCCACGTCCCAGGGTGACTTTCAAAGGCCCTCAACCTTGTCCCTCATCTCATGGGAGGGCGCTTGGCCCATGACACCCACTGAAGTCAGGTGGCTCTGCATGTCTCACCCAGCCAGACACCTCCCCTGCATCCTGGCCCCTGCAGACGGTGGCACAGTGACAGAGAGGCCCACACCAGGTCCCACATGCAGACACCCTCGGCTGGCTCCCCCATCCCTTCAGAATTCCAGGAGCTGCATCCCATGTTTTCAAGAAGGAGGGATCTTTGGCAAACTGAGGAACCCGTTCTCAGCCAGCGTCCCCAGCTGTCAGAGATTGCTGGGCAAGCGGCCAGCTTCCACAGGAGCTGGCCTGAGCATCAAGGAGACTCTGCTTGAGCACAGTGAGGTGAGCTTCCCACTGTGGTCATCCTGGCTGCAACAGCAGAGAGAGGAGACCCACCCAGGGCCTCTCTGACTCAGATGTGCCCCTGACATTTCCACAGTGTCACTCCGATGGAAGAGGGCAAGTGCTGGGGTCAAACCCTGGCCAAATCCAGGCTGACTGCCTGGCCCTGGGGGTTGGGGCAGCAGGAACAGCCAGAGAGAAAGGATAATCCATGTGACCTTCTTTGCGTCCAGCACAGTGGACAGGTCATGCATCATGGCAGGAAAAGAGGGTATAAGTCGCCCACAGCTGCCCACAAGTCAGTTGTAGACTAGGAAAGGTCTGCAGGGAGAAAACAAAGGGATGGGGTAGGGCAGAGGCAGGAAGTGACAGGTGGAGGTGTAGGAGGAGACCAAACCAAGCCACAGCACCATGCAGACAACAATAATGGGGCTCCACATCCCAGCTGGGAGCTCGTGCCCCAACCTGGGTGACTTCCACAGTGGAAAAACAGCCCTCGCTAATTGAAAATGAATAACAAACGACCAGTGAGCTGATGCCAAGGTCCCCATGAGCCCCTACGAGCACACTCGATCAACCTCACAGGCAGGAACCTGTGATGTCACCTGTGTCTGAAAAGGGCAGTCTGACTCTTCCCAGCCCATCGACTATCAAAGCACTAGCTCACACATAATTGCCGTCTTCAGACACTGTAAGTAACAAACACATCTTCAGCTCTTTCATGCATGGATAAGAACATCTGTTTCTGTTACTTTCTAAAGACTAAACTAAAATGGAGGTGATCCTCTGAGTACATGGCCGGTAACCAAGGTCTACATAAAGCTGTGACAGTGACCAGGCTGACACAAGGCAACTATGTAAAGGAAACAGTGCCTACTCTGACACCAACTAGTCTTCCTCACCAAGACCCCACAGCCCACCTGGAGTGGCTGGCAAAATGCCGGCTTCTTCCAAGTTTACTGGCCCTAGAGCATGTGAACTAGCCCCTTCCACAGACTGACACCTGGCCTCACAGGTGAGCCAAGGCCAGGCCAAGATGGCCACTGAGAAAGACACTTACATCTCTTTTCCACCTCCCCAAGCTGCCAATCAATTCCAGGCAATAAAGGTTGTTCCCCTGCTCCCACATAGCCGCTAACTTTGTAAGAAGTGGCCACATGAATACAGATGCACAATGACCCTGAGAAGGGCAAAGATCACCTGCGAACCACCAGAAACAAGGAAGAGAAAAGAAAGGACTCTCCCTCCTTCAGATGCCCTGACTTCAGACTTACAGCACCCCAAACTATTCACAGATGGAAAGGAACTCTGCCCAGGAATGGACCACACTCCAAGTCCCATCTGTCCCTGAGTTATGGGAGCCTGAGACAAGATTTTATACTTGGAGTTGCTGCTGGACTCGGTTAAGATTTGGAACAATGGGATGATGGAAGTGTATTCTGCACGTGGGAAGACATGAAATTGCTGGCAGACCAAGGGCAGACTGTGATGAGCTGCACTGGGTCTTCCCACAAAGCTATGCTGAAGTACTAACACCCCACAATGGGGACTTAATTGGAAGCAAGGTCTTAGCCACGTAACTATGAAGAGGAGGTCACACTGGAGTATATGGGTCCTTCTCCAACTCGACTGGAGTCCTATATGCAGATGAAGACAACACTTGGGTCTTCACAGACACAGCCACCCTCAGAGAGTGCCGGGGGCGATGAAGGCAGAGATGAGCAATGGAGCTGCAAACCCAGAGCCTGGAGGACAACAGCAGCCGGGAGAGGCTGGGAGAGGTCAGGAGGCCCTTGCAAACTTATGCATGCCTGTGGCTCCAGCTAACCAGCTGTAGCACTTTGTCTCATCAGCTCTAAGAAACAAGTACAGTTGACTTCTGGGACTGCAAGGTCTCTTCCCAAGAAGGACTGCAACCACACTTTGGAGACTCTGACCCATGATGCTTTCACCTCACCCACTGGCAGTTTCCCAGTGTCTGTGAGGCATCCCAGAAGCCAAACTAGGGATAGACAACTGATCAATTTCTTCTAAATGTTGACAATTCAGGAGCTTTTAAAATGACAAGGCCCCACACGGAGGATGGTGAAGTCTTTACTGGGAGAGTAAATGCAAAATCCAAACACCTGGGATCAGATGAGTACTTTTACATCTCTGGGAAGGAAAGACTGCAATTATCACCAGGCTCAGTGACCAAAGAACAAAGTTCTCTTGAGAAATAAGAAAATCAACTCAGTCACTTACATAAAATTAAAAGCTTTAGAAGAGAGAAATCAATAGAAGATCATCTCCGATGAGTATGCATAAAAATATAAACATCCGGGCTTCCTTATCAGGACAGGTGCAGCATGGAAACATGAGTCGGGATGTCCCATCACTGTGACAAACACCTGAGACAACCAACTCAGACAGGGCCAGCTCTGCTCAGTTTGGAGGCCTCAGTTGGTAGAGCTCTTTGGGCTCTGAGCATTACGTGGCCAGGAAGTAAGTGACAAAAAGAGGAAGGACCTGAGGTAACACCTCCCCTTCAAGGTCATGACCTCAAAGACCTAATATCCTCCCACCAAGCCCTGCCTCTTAAAGGGCCCACCACCTCCCATCAGAGCCAAGCTGGATCCACACGGGGAATAAATGGGCCTTGGAGGACACTCAAGATTCAAGTTACAGCAGATGCTGATGGCAGAGGAACTGGGGAGTAAGGAAGTAGAACTGTTATCCATGAAACTTTTCTGAGACTGAAACCCTTTCAAAATTTCAGTTTAAAAAAAAATCAACACAGTTAAAATAAGAGTAACATCATTTACATCAGTAACAACAATGTGTACAGCTTTGTACCCATAAGAGACAGAAAGTACGTGATGTACAGAATATCTTCCACAGCCCAAGCACCACCCAGAAATGGTAAGGATTAAGACAAACCCAGCTTATCCTGACCCTTGTGCTGAATTTTGCCTCCTACAGCCCCAGCCCCCACCGTGGTGGGAGAGTGTGGATGGTGTTGGTGTGGTCTACCCCTCTCTGTCCTCAGGAGGCAGGAGAATAAAAACAGTGGGCTCTGTGGGGACTACACTGCAGAATACTGAGCCTGCAAAGAAAGCCCAGACGAGGCTTCTGGTCTCAAAGTTCTCCCATGGACCTGGCTAGGATCTAATCCTGGCTAGGGTCTAAGTGGGTCTCTGGGGTTCTGTGCCGGAAAGTCCACCCTCAACAGGGCCACATGGTGGGTGCAGCCTGAGGGAAGGAGTGGGCATGCAGGGTGCTGCCCTTGAAGGGATGGAGCGGTTTTCACCATGCCCCGATTATTCTGCAAGGGTGAGTTGTTACAGAAAAGCTCGCCTGGCCCCTCCCAGGTGCCCACTTTCTGTCCTGTGTCCTCACCCAGGCTGCACAGCAGCCGCACAGTCTCAGACTGCATACAAAGCACTTAGCCTCAGCTGCTCCATTACTGTGCCAGAAGACAGACTAACAGGCCCTGCCGGAAATCCTGGTGGTGGCCCCACTGCCTCTCAGCACAATCCGAGTGGTACAGGGCTGATTAATGCCATCCACCTTCCCTGTCCTTCAGACACACAGAAGGAAAGGAAGCCTTCTGTAGTGACACCCCAAGAGGCTCCTGGGGAGGTGGGGATACCCGGCTCCTGCTAGCCTACACACAGCACACAGAACAGCCTCACTGCCACCAGGCCTTTTCATTGTTAAATAGTCACAGGTCATTTTAAGGAAAAAACACAGTGGAGGCTTCACACCCTGAGCGAGTCCATCCTGATTCCCAGTGCTCCTTCCTGCAGGGAAGAGTCTATAGCTTCCTTCTGCAGAACCCTGTTCTGCTACACCAACTATGGGTTGAAACCTCTGCAAACTGTGAGTCAAAATAAACCTCTACTCCTCAAAGGTTGTGAGTGACCGGTATCACATCCCAGCAACAAGGAAAGACAGACCCCTTCCTGAAACAAACAGTCCCTTCCCACCGAGTCCCCATGGGGTGGGAGCAACGGCCTCTCTTGGGCCCCTTTGTAAGGGCACAGACCCCACATGAGGGTGCCACACTCTCGACCTCACCACCTGCTCAGGCCAGCACTTTGGGGTTCAATCCCCACCAGTTCTCTCTCAGTGGGGTGTAAGTGTAGGTAACAAAAATGTGGTTATCACCTTATTCAATACTGACAAGATAGCTAAGTGTGCTGGGACACACGTGTAATCTCAGCACTGGGAGGCTGAGGCAGGAGGATCACTAGTTCAAGTCCAATCTGGGCAATTTATTAAGACCCTGTCTCAAAATAAAAGGTAGGAAAAGGAATAAGGATATAGCTCAGTGGGAGGGACCTGGGTTCAATCCCCAGCATGTCAAAAAAAAAAAAAAGAAGGGAAAAAAGCTAGATATGGTATAGAGTTTAAAGGAGAAAAGAGATTTAAGGATGAATATTAGAATTGAAACTCAGAACCAAATGAAAGAGAGTTCGCTTTGCAGAAATTTGCACAGGAGAACTATATTATGGAAATAGAAC